AATATTGAAATACTATTATGTGTAAACAGACCTTCTTTAAAATGCTTTAAATCAAAAGATTGTGAAAACAGATTTTCATGTATATACTTTTTATTTAAAAATGGAAACAGAATGAAATATATGCATTAAACAAAAAACAAATCAAGAACAGAGCATTTCATTTGTGAGATCAGAATAAGATTAAGGGTCCACAGAGAAGGAACATTTGAAATTTAAGGTTGTTGTCTTCTTATTCAGACTTGCTTTTATCAAAGTTATTGACAAAATGCTCTATTCTTATTTTTAATAATATTGCTTTTTTGTTTGATAGAGACAAATTAACATGAATGATACAGAATTCTCGTGTAAAGTCACATTACTTAGGCTTGAACAAATATTCGATGAACGATGTATCATTTGTAGAGAGGCTCCGCAGTTAATAATTACTGTACCAGGCCCTCATTCGTCAGCTCTGTAAGAGGCGACACGGACAAACTTTAAAAAAAAAATAACAACATAAAGCTGGGAGAACATCTTTGACTTGAATTTTCATGTAAAACATGAATTAAATGACAGTTTTCCAAGACCATTTTATGAAAGGCTGATCACGACCAAAGGGGAATAACCTCATTTGCTTACGTAATTTCTCGACTGCAGAAGAATTCATAGCAATATAAGATGTAAGTTGTCAATCTGGTTTCAATAAAATTATCGTTGTGTCAAACAATTTTAACGATGACTCAACTATAATTCTACAATATGAACATATATTGACCCCCCCCCCCCCCAAAAAAAAAAAGATAGACATGAACCAAAAAAGGTCGTGATCGCGAATTCCATGAATAATTTACTTAACTGAAACAAGATGAATTAAAAAGATAAAGAACACACTGCTACATAATCGGGGAAAGGTCCAGATTTCCTTGTTATACACAGACAGAGCGCGCGGACTTCCAGTCTCGTTTTTTCCGAGATCTGTCCTCAGATAACAAACAGTATCAATTGTATAGAGTTACCGGCAGATTTGTCGTGTTTATTAATTTTTCATTTCTCTTTGCGTTTTCATCTCATCCATTTCGTGCTCTTTGATTTCAGATTACAAAACAGATCGAGCATTCCGCTAAAATAAGGAAAGAAAAATAAATAGATAAAGGAACAATCAATGATATTAAAGGTTTGGGTTTTTTGTCGAGAACAATGTGGTCAAAATCTCATCATTTCTTAACTAAGGCATCTGTTTCACGTGTATTTATAATTCATAATTTTCTCTCTTTTTTGTTTGTGTTTTAAACAAAACAATGTAGTAAGAGCTAAACACCATTTTGTTTGATTTTTGTTAAACAAAGGGTGTGGATTTCTGTTTGATAGATATTCGATAAGTCACCAAGTGCGGAGCTACATGAAACTGCACATCCTTTATATAAGAATACAAAAGGAACACAAATAAGCATTGCAAAATCCAGTACAAAATTGTTCATATTTATTGACAAGGGACCAGAACAACTGATGAAGCTCTGCAATCTGATACCTCTTGTCGCATCTTCCTTTACCCAAGCTATGGCCGCTGATAATTTATTTAATTGCCGTAATTCATAGATTACCGTTTTAGATATAGATTTTCCCTCTTCTTTTTTCTCCCCCTTTTTTACATTTGGTGACGAAGCTGCAATTGTACACCCGATATGCCCTTGGAGATTTTTGCCATGGGTTTCAGTGAAAAATTTATGTTACAAAAAAAATAAAGACAGATCTCGGAAAAAAAAGCCCTCGCATTTCAATCCAATAACACAGCGAGATTAGGTTACTGGTTATGGGTTTTAATCTGCTAATGCTGAAATAAAAACCAACATTATTGCGAGATATAATATCATTGTTTAAACTCGATTAGATGACAGGGCTGGTATGGTATTGATTCAATATATTTGTATGGGGGGATCGGGTTTCACTAAATACCGCGCCACAGGCCGATTTGGATGAAATGAAGGCTGATCGGCGATGTAAACAATTCAGGTATTGTGCAGGCCAGTAACTTGATCTGGGTGATCTATTTCATTTGAAACGCTACCCTGCCAAGATATTTTCGTCCTCCCGGCACAGATAGCTGGCCAATTATTTTAAATGGCACAATCGTAATTACACCTTAGACTAGTCTCTTTTCACACACCTTTGAAAAATGCTTCTAAAAGTAACCAAATGGTACACGAGGTCTTTTATTGTCGAGATTTGGTGAACCCGGCCTAGTAAAATTGTAAACAAATTTAAAGTTAATTCAAGGAGGAAACCTTCCTCTATGTTGGGAAAGAACGAACGCTCATTATCTGCTATTGAGGGTTTTTTTTATATCTAGAAGGAAAGACACATATACATGTATTCAATATTAAAGTATTTGTGACGAGAGCCAAACATCCCAAAAAAATTATTCGATATAGATATGAACGAAAGAGGGAAGATTTTTATCTTAAAAGTACACAAGGAAACAATTCGAGTTGGTTATCTAAACCCTCATAAAAAATAACATTAGTAGCACAACAACTTCAAGTAAACGTCGTATATTAATTTGCATCCGTTACGGTGGTCTAAGGTTCTTGAGCGCTTGAGAATTTAGCAACCTACCGCATAAACTACAAACATGAAAAACACCTAGTGAGAAGCTGCTAGCGAAGTGTTTTCCTCATCTGTCGAACTAATCCAAACGGCAAATAGACATGACTTATGTCCTTATCAATTTCCTCCTAATAAACGGTTCCCAGAGCACAAGAAGTGCCAGTAATGAGATTTTAATGCACGAAAAAATATGAGAAAAAGCTTTAATATTTTTAATTATACAAAAAATATTGTAGCAAGAATTGAAAGTAAAAATATATCTTAAAAATAACGTTTTATTTCACATCCAAATTAAAATATACTTATACATCTTATAAATATTAAATAAATTCTTTCTTCCATAAGCATCCTCTATTGTATGAATTTCCTCTCTTCTTTCCTTTTCATATTTCTTTTATTTCGTTTCTTAACATTTTTTATTGGTGATGTTTTTCTACCTTTAGTATTTTTTTCCGTTGTGTATTTATTTCCCATTTATTTCACACAAAATGAATAATTTTCCCTTTTCAACGATTCTTTTTATAATATCAGGCACATGTTTACCATCTTGAGAAGTAAATACTATTTCCGTTCAAACTTAGCAGCTAATAAGAAGTCAGGATATACTCTTATTCCTGTATATATAAGTTTTTTAATTTTTTATGTTAAAAACACATTTTATCCGATGTAACTTGCTTTTTCCCCTTTGTATTTTAAGTATTTTTGGCTTTTTATTATTTTTTTTAACCAATACTTTATATGTTAAATTAAAATAGAGTGTTGTATTAACTAAACAATATTTCATAATGAAAGAATCCTAATAAGATGTTACAGCTGGTACGGCCTGTATAAGTCTTCTCCGTGATACAAGGACAAAGTCATACATATACAAATAAAAATATTTGTTACATTACATTGAAAAAAATATAGATAAATACATGTGTAAATTCTAAAGAATTTTTTTTAAAGAAGACAAACTGAACAGTAAATTATAATAATTATAAATGAGCTAATGATACAATATGTTGGCCGTTAAACATGATTGTATGACTGACGAAAATACATTTATTCTGTGTTGTATTTCGTCATCATGGTTTTGCTTTTTTAACATCCAATAACTGTATGTTAAACAATTTTTTTTTAATTAAAATTGATTCATAATGTTATTTATATTCTAACGGACTAAATAATGGAGTAATCATTGATGATGCACCCATCTGTTTATCTGGATCTCCTATGGCAGGGCTGGGAATCCCCCCTGGGAGGCTCAGCACGGGGTATTATCTGTTAATTCATGTCACTGTCGATTGACACGCCTGTTTAATTCATCCGACCTCTCCCGCTGGGTCCCGATTACTCCCTGACCTCTGCAGATGTGGCCCCCTCCATCGAACAAGACACTGGACACTAACTTCATTTCAATATCTATGTTTAAAATCTACCTCGTATTTAAACAGAGAATAATTAAGCCATAAATCAAGTAGTTGTAAGTAAATAATTTTTTCAACATAAATTTTTAAAATATTGATAAAAATCTTTTAATTGGCTCCATTGAATTCTAAATAGAAAAGCGATATATTAATTTAGGGATTGAATGACTATTTTAAATATCCATGTTAATATTATTAGGTAAATTAATTGACAGAAAGTGATAATTCGCTTTCTTAAATTTTATTTCAAATTATTTGAATAAAATATTATTAAATTCCAACAAACTCCACTGTTATGTTTACTAACTTTTTGTTGAGAAACACGAATTGTCAACCTATGGGTATAGAAAATCGGCTGCCAATGTAGGGATTGTATGTACCGTGGATAAATATTATCACAGCAAACAAGTAGCAGATGACTACCCCCAGGAAACAGGAGACGACCCCCGGCTTTGTGAAGCCAGGGACCCGGTGTTCATTTATATGTCCATCTTGCCGTGTACACCGCATTCAAAAACGGACGGTTAATTTCACGCGTAATGGCTTTCTGCGTGAGTCGAGACAGCGATCCCATTGAGTTTTGGAGCTGAACAATTCAAAGTAAACATTGATCATTTTGTCATTATGGATGTTCAAATATCTCCGCTTGAATTCAGTATAAATAACTTCACGACTAACCTCTTGAACAGGGTCTTTTTTCTTCCCCTATTTTCTGTGTCAATTGAAAATGATGAACTTGCGCTCGGTAAATTTGAATATGTACCCGCCCACTTAGGTATATGGTTACTTGATTGACGCCGTTGTTATGGTTACTAATTTCTCACGGCACTGCAACGAATAACGATATCTTCTGGGGTCGCCAGAAACAGCCAATCATCAGAAAGTAGTGAACCATTACAGCACCTCTATCTAAATAGAACAGAATTCAAGACAGCAACAGATTATATATCATAACACTAGTGTATTCATGGTATTAGGAAAAGTTTGTTGACTTTTTTCTTTCTTTAGTTTTTAGTGGAAGAGCCGGACCTGCGAACGGAACTCATCTTGGTCACTTTCCAGAAACGGTGCCAATGTTGCACGAACAAACCCCCACGTCTAGTGTGGGTTCCCCAAATCCCGCCATGCTTCCGTCCTTTGGATTTACACAAGAACAAGTAGCGTGTGTCTGTGAAGTTCTCCAGCAAGGAGGTAACATTGACAGGTTGGCCCGCTTCCTGTGGTCACTTCCTGCTTGTGAACATCTTCATAAGAATGAAAGTGTGCTTAAAGCAAAAGCCGTTGTGGCATTTCACCGCGGGAATTTCAAGGAACTCTACAAAATGTTAGAGAGCAATAACTTCTCCCCTCACAATCACCCAAAATTACAAGCATTGTGGCTAAAGGCTCATTACATTGAGGCGGAAAAACTCAGAGGGCGACCGTTGGGAGCCGTGGGAAAATACCGTGTCCGCAGGAAGTTCCCTCTCCCAAGAACTATCTGGGATGGGGAGGAAACAAGTTATTGTTTCAAGGAGAAATCTAGAACTGTTTTGAGGGAGTGGTATCAACACAACCCGTACCCGTCGCCGAGGGAGAAGAGGGAATTGGCTGAGGCCACTGGTCTTACGACTACACAGGTCAGCAATTGGTTCAAAAACAGAAGACAAAGGGACAGGGCCGCAGAACAAAAAGACAGGTAAGATATAACATGATCATTGGAAGGAAAATCTCTGACCGCTCTCTAGTTTGTTTACAAGTGTAGAATTCCAAACCAGATGATGTAATTCAACACAAATCAGAATGAAGTTATGTTCCTAACAAAATGGGTGTCAGTTTTAATAAAAGACGGGTTTTAATAAAGATCGGGTTGCAAACCAGGATATAGCAGTATTGCATTTCCCTTTTAACCATTTTTCCTCTCTTTCTGCTAACAATATGTGGGTATTCAGTAGAAAACACAACGCATAGCGGCGTGTATCAGGTTTCTTCTCACATGCCAAATGCCAGTGCCGGTCATGAAATAAATATGTTTCGTCTGTAATAGATAGTTGGAGTCAGAGGGGATCACATTACACACTGCTGTAACCTATAATCTATTCAGCACTCCTTCCCAAAAATGCAAGATGGCACGCTAAGAAATCTGTTTGGGAGAAAATTAAATTAAATATAAGGACTTTTTACTGGACAAATCACAATTTTGTGGTGACACCTTGCATTAATTTGACAAACATAAGGTGCTGAATTAATTCAGGGTTGGGGCAAAATTTCCAACAAACATGTAGCTGTTTCATTAACTTAATGAATGATAAATGTTTATTATATTGATAAATTTTGATAACAAAATTAGATAGTTGATTATATATTGAAGAGTGTTTAATATGTATAGCATTATTCGTTGCCAGAAATAAATATGAAATTTTATTTTCAATTATGGAACATTAACATGATTAATTGAAAAGGGATATTTTCTAAACGCATGGATTAATATTTCAATTCAATAACAAGCCGTTCATACATGTATGCTGAGTTGATTTTCAGTGTTGAACTGATGTAAAACATTTTTTTTTATCAATTTATTAAGAAAAAAGAATTTATTTTCTACGGAAAAAATCATTATGTCTAAATAGATGTCTTAAATTAAAAAAAAATATTCATTGCTGTTATTCTTTTGAATAATGACGTATTTTGAAATTCATTCATATTCTAGTTTTCTTTTATCAATTTTTTTGATCTGGAAAATCAAGTAAATTAACTTTAAAATATCAACAACTGGTTGTTTCAGGGACGGTTCACATGGCGGATCCGGAATAGGTCAAGATATTGGATCACCCGGAAGTGATAAGGATGACCTCAGTGAAGATGGCGGGATGGTTCAAACCAAGATAGAACCACAAGAAATTAACACTACGCAAGCGCACTCATTATATACAGATCTCCAAAAAGCCATGCCTAGTGGTCCTTATTCGGGCATGATTCCGAACAATTCAATGACCCATTCAGCCGTTACAAACGGCTCATCTGTTGAACACCATAACGACCTGCTAGATAGTTACCAGTCGTTATGAAATAGATTTTTTGACACGTACATGTATTAGAATATTTGAAGCTATGAAAACCAAAGATTTTTACACCAAAAGACAGACGAGGAATTTTTTGTGATTTTTGCAATAATTTCTCAAGTTTGTGTGATACTATCAGTGTATATACCCAAGTTAGTATATATAAGTGTATACCAGACCTTCTCTCGGAGGGTTGTCGCCACGAAGACGACCATGTTGCAATGGCCGCCAGCCATCTTGCCAGTTCTGTCTCAAGGTATATGAACACAGTTACCCAGAGGAAATTTTATTTCAATTGGTGCATGTGTATGGAAATTATTCACGAAACCAGTGTCAACCGAGTTTTTGCGACTCTTTTCTCAACGTAAATAGTGCTTTTCTTTTGTTGTTCTAATTTTGTGCCATGTTTAGATAAGTATGTACATTTACCATGACAGTTTGTCAACTGATAGTTTCATTTTTCGCTTCACCATGACCTTGGTAGTCAGGGATAAATTATTTTGTAGGATTCTCCTACGTATACTGATTTTATTATGTTCTACAACAGGCAATTAAGTGCAATTTCTTCATCTTCATTATGTACATGTAGTTGTGTGGTTCTACCTTCTCAAGTGTACGCGGGAAAAAAAGACGTTCAAAAAATTCTGCAATACTTCTTTGTTGTAGTACGTTATGACTAATTGCAAACAAGTTTTGCTGTTTTTGACCATGACCTAAGATTTGATAAGATGTTTTGCAACTTGAAGATTATTTAATGACTAAAGTGGAAATACAAATTGTAGTAGATTTAATGTATTAAATATCTAACGAATCAACTAATGTGTTTACAGGCCGCTAATTGCAATAGTTGCTCCATTGAATATAAATGTTCTGCCATTTAAAATGTGATTAATAAATTAAACAAAATGAAAGATAAGTTGTTTTTTTTTTTTCCCCATCTTTTTCTTTGAACAGATAGTAAATTCTATCTCGTTTATTTCACTCATTCCTATATAATTCGCGAAAATATTTGACTTGATTATAAAATGAATTGCATACACTTGTATATATCGTTGCATTCCAAAAGGAAAACCAACCTCTTGTTCAAGAAAAAATCAGAAATGCCTGAGCATTTATCGAATTACAATATGACTGTCAGATACAAATTATATATGTCAAATTTCGCTAATGGTCAAGTGTATAACAAAATTGTCCTAGACAGCTCGTCCCAAAGGACACTCGGATAACAAAGCTTATTAAAGCGATTGACTGTCCTATCCCCGAGTGTCACAGAGTGCATTGTTTATTGATTCTTCCGTCACATGCGTCATTTTTTTACGCTTCTCGATTTGTTCTTTTTTGTAAAATATATTTTTAAAACTATATTACTAACCGAAAAATCAATTTCACGACCATAACTTAAATGCCAGCATAACTTTTTCGCTAAAAAGCGTAGATAAAGTTGTTAACCATTCGCCAAATTTTTTAAATTAAATAGTCATTCTAAAGAATTGTAATTGAAGTTGAATAGAGAAGAATTAAAAGAAGTCTAAAAATATTGCATTGAGAGTTCTTAAGAAGTCAAATGAATCATCTGGCACAATATGTTTATTTATCAGCACGAAAAATACCTCCACTGAAATGTAACATCACGCACATGGACTGACAATGTTCAATTTAAATTTATTTACAACACAATGTAATAACACTGGTAAAGGAATGCCTGTACATTTTTTCCTTGATAATAATCTACACTTTTTATAACAAACTAAAAACATAATCATCCACTGTAGCTTTTTAAAGCAAAATAATAGAACTTTATGCGTGTTAAACCCTGAATTATAATATATTGCCGAATAATACTGTTCAGTAGGGCAGTTAAGGTTCCATTATACCCCTCGGAAACTGAATAGCACGGGTTAGAGAGGCTAAAGCCCATCAAACTGTCAGTCGCAATGAAAGAGTGTAGATCTGCTGATAAAATGTAAAATTATATTGTTTCCATTTTTCTTTCCACGAACAGCTTCAAAAAAGTTAATCCAGTCTTATTTTATTGTATGTTTGACTATTTTCACAGGCATATGTTAAAGATTTAAATTTTATTTTAGTCCTTGTATAATCTACCGGAAGAATAATACTATACAAAGGGGAAATGAAGAGGGAGAAAATCGGAAAAGGTGTAAACATCTGCAGGGGATTTTCTTACCAAAGAGACAAGCTTGTCATGGCCACAAACAAACCATATTCCTGATTGCCTGTCTGATAACCGATACAGTTGAGCCCCTCAGTTTTCTGCTTCTCCCCACTTCGGGGACTTGTTTTTCTTCTTCGTAATGTAAACAATACACACCGACTGCGTTGAAGATTTCTCTCGATTCATGACTTTCTTATTACTTATAGTGCGAGAACACACGTAATGCACGGCCATGTTCGGTTTTTATATTTTAATGTTAAACGTAGAGAAAAAGATGTATATTTTTTTGCAATGGAAAGCCAAGACGTTCTGGTTTGGAACGCTGTGCGTGCAAGAAAAACAGAAAGCACGTCTTTGGCGTTAATTAAAAGCCAGTGTCGAATTTCCTCTTCCCAGCCGTCCTTATCAAAACCGTAACCTGATGTGCCTGATGTATGTTTATATCTGACAGTTAAATATGAGCTACCGACATTTGATACTACTAGCCCCCATCTGTCATTTGCTGCCAGTAACGTACGCTGGAACGGTTACCAATGCCCTTGTCTCAAACCTTTCAATGATGCCTTCATTCTGGAAATTATTGTTCAATTATTTTTAGAAGATTCATTAATAACATCGGAATAATTTTAACGTAATATTATGTTTCAAAAACGTTTCATTTTGAATTCCCCAAAAGTTCAGTTCATCCCTTTTTTATTTTATTCAGATAACAGTTTATTTCTGTTGGCTACACAAATTAGAAAAGCAGGATTTAAAAAAAAGAGGACAGAATGTAACACTGTGGTTGCAAGATTTACCTGAAAACACGTTTTAAGATTCCTTTCTCTTTGGAATTGAACAGTTCCCATCATTGAATGGAATCTTTATATTGATACTAATCTAAAGTATTCTCTTATACGTAACTCTTTGAATAACGATAGTAAAAACAGATTAACATTTTGATATAAGGTTTTCCTTCACATAGGGATAGTCTCAGAAAATTCAAAGTAATTACTTTCTTTTTGGTTCTTTTGATGTTGTTTTCTGGTAGCAAAGACACACAACTTCAATTATTTACACATGACGATACAAAGAACCAGAGAACTGTCACAACAGACATGGAATTCAAAGAACTTTTTGGCGAAGTGTATTAAGGAGCCCTTGTACTGGCGAAGGCAGCACTTAGCGGACCACCGGATAAGAAATCTCAAGGAAAAAGACAAACAACTTGAGAATATAACAAAAAAATATATACCTTACTGCAATTTATGATGCACGGAGATAATGAAAAATCATTGGACACTGCAAGATAGAGAGTAAAGTATTTGTTAACTTTATCTAATTATAATTTTCTCTAGGAAACTTTTAAGGTTATTTTTAAAATAACAACTACATGTACAACAAACAAACAAACAACAACAAAAACAATTATACAAAGCAAAATTAAAAACGAAAAGCTGATTAAAAAATGAAGATTTCACAATCACAATTCTTTTAATTTTACAATAATGGACCATAAATGAGACACATAAATAATTTTCCCCATAAAAACCAATGGTAATATATGAATATATGACTAAAGGGCTGATATAAAAGCCGTCCTTTTTCACACGATCATTAATTAAACACTATTGGATTACAAAAGTAATAAAGTACATTTTATTTGTTAATTAAATATTTCAATAGACATCAAATTGATACATATGTGAATTCAAAAGAAAAAAGAAATGCCAACAATCACAAAATGCGTTTCTTCTGTTGTTTCTTGGAAGAGCTAAGGGATTTTTGAAGATATATATGTTTACAATCGATATGTAGCATTAACTATGTTTTTCCCAATAACAAGAAAATTATGCAATGAAATTACATTTTATCTTATCAAACATGCTAATTGTTTCACATTAACATAATTTATACACGTGTCTCTGAATTTAATAAGTGAGACACGGGATGGAAGTAATCAAATTTATGAAAATCGAACATGGTCAGTTCTGCATGTGGCGCCCTATAAAATTCCTGCTTGTAAAGCTTAACTTGTCTACTAAAACTAAGTAATATTTGATAGCATTTTACTTAAATCTAAAAACATTCAATTTGTCACAAGTCAACATTATACAAAGTAAAGAAGAAACATAAACTATTATAGCTCAACCAAATAAAAAATTCATAAGCCTGTATGCAAAGAAACAAATATGAATTTACACAGACAAAAAAATCAAACAAAGAAAAAACCAAGAAGCAAATGGACCTTCAAGTTACATATCAGGGACAGAATGGAACAGTTTTGTGATGATTTACCAAGTTTTACACTCCTAACACCACAGTCGCCTGCGTGGCACAGTGATGAGAACGCCTACTCTAAGGTCGCTGTCCAGCAGTTGATTTCTACGGTGAGACAAGTCCTTTGGATGAGTGGTTATCCAACTTATACCCATAGGTTCCTTTCTAAGAAGGAAATTTTTCAAAACCGTATCTCAATTTTTAATATATATCAAACAATGAATTTGAATTACATTATTTAAACTTCATTCCAAAACTCTATAAAAATATTCACAAGCAAAGATGCAAAGCGGGTTCCAGAAAATTTTTCTATCTGGTCTTTTGCTTTACTTCTCACTAAAATGGTTACGGCCGTGAAAGAGAAAGTCCAAGAGTACTGTACAACAGTAAATTCAGCAAAGGGAATAAATCAGTGGATAAAGGAGGCTACTTACAAAATCCAACGAAGTTTTTATTAGAAAATTTAAAATTTACAAAATTTCACCAATATCAAAAGCATCAAAACTTACTACGATTTTTCAAATCTTTACACAACAAATCCCCAAAAGAAGTCCAGACTGTCTGACATACGAGTCAACTGCTTTTTCTATAAAATAGAACTCGGAAATATACTTACCTGGTCACTGGTCATTTAAAAAATTAATTTCTTAAAACTTTTTATTGTATGCACTTATTGTACGTACTCTGAAGTTGATATTACAATCATGAATGTAGTTAACATGCTAGAGTTTTTGATTGCCAATATCTATGTAGTTTTTGGGAATCAGGTCTTCCAACAATCTTTCTGAATATCCATATGCACCCAGTGCGTCCGTTATAAGCGGACCTATTTTTTTTTATATCATATGAAGCAGGGTTTCCTTTAAAACATCTATATGAGAGAATGAAAACACTTGCTGGGGCATTTAACTCGAAATTTTGACATATCGACAACGTATCATCAATTAACAATGGTTATTTCCTATTCTTATGTCGGTTTGATGTATTCCAGTGAGCTTGAAAACAAAAGCAACACATTGTCTGACAATATGTTTTATATTTGGATATTTTACTAGAGAAAGACATTAATGGTAACCTAACAACAAAGCTTTCTGATATACGTGTTGACTTCAACATTTCAATCGTCAACTTCCCTTACTTATCCAATATACTCATAACAACTACATATTGTTTGTCTCTCAGTTGATTCGATACACATGAAAGGACAAATTGTTGACAAACACGTTGATGAAACAAGGATATCAAGAACTCATCATTTTGCAAGTTTCCTGGTCGATACAATTACAATGACTTTGTCATTACAAATACAACCTGTCACTAAATCAAATGCCGACTGACTTCGTTTTTTGTCTCGTTTTCCTGATCATGACAAGAAGCACACGGCGGATGTGACTGGTCGGCAGGGGATACTCACTTCACCTTGGCATCAGTTTTCACCAGTGATGTATGCTCGGCTGCCGATTTGTATTCTTTAAAATGGACTT